TCTCTGTCATGGTGTGCAACCCCGGCGGAAACAAACGCCTTCTCAGCCAAAAAGGGCCGGGGTAAGCCGGGACTAGATAAGGCATTGTGCTGATTTCAGGGATTTGAAGTTCAAGACTTCATTTTCGACTTGAATTACAAAATCAAGGTTTATTTTCAGACTTTTCCCAGTTAGCAATTAAGAAGTCGTCGGTCTCGAGTGCATGAAACGAAAACCAAGAATTGATTTTGATCGTCGATCAAAATACCTGGTCGCCACAGTCATGTATGCGCATATGCATACATGCGTGCAGTAGTAGGTAACAATGAGCTCAGACTTTGTCGCCACCGGGGGCGGCGGCGGGAGTGGGGGCGGGGGCGGCGGCCGCGGAGGCCAGGGCGATGATGGTGTCGGTCAGGGCGTTCTCAAAGACCATGTTCTTGTCCTGGGGCCTATCAGGAACAAAAAAGGCGTAGGTCTTCTTGACGGCGGACTCGAGGGCGGGGACGAACTTGTAGGCCTCGTATGCACCGCCCATCGTCTCCTTGATGGCCTTGCTGAAGGCGGAGTCAAAGACAGTGGACTTATCCTTGGCTGGGGCAGCATCGGCGGCGGTGGCTGCAGTCCTGAAGGCGGTGTCGATCTGGTCAATGGCCTTGAGCTCCCCGGCAGGGATCGGCCCCTTGACTTCCTCGCGGGCGGGCTTGACGGCGTGGACCTCAAGGATGCCGGCGATGATGCGGAGCGACTCGCCGAAAATGGCCACGAAGGAGTCGTACTTGGCCTCCGGGGTAGCGCCCTGGGCGATCTTGGAGGCCGCCACCTGAGCGAAGGAGACCCTGGTGCTGAAACTGGCGTTGGTGCTGGACGCGTTGGTGAACCCGTCGAGTGACCAGTCGCCAAAGTTCTGGATGAAGGTGGTATGGAAACACTTGTCCTTGTCTGTTGGAGGGACCACGGCTGCGGCCGCCACGGCCGCCTTGAAGGCATTGTTGGCCTTCTCAATTAGCTTCTGCTCCTCGGTTGTGGCCTTGGGTTGTGCCCCAGCCGGGGCGTGGCCGGCTTCGGCAGCGTACGAGATGGCTGACCCGGCCACGATGGCGACGGCCACGAAGAGCGCCACCGTGCACTGCTGCACTGCCATTGTTGCTGCTCTTGTCTTGCGTTGGTTGGTTTGCACAGTATATGTAGGAGGAGAGATTATGGTGTGGTGTGAGGATGAAGGAGCTTAGCTCTATATATAGATGCCCAAATTAGCAATCTCCTCCTCTCCTCTCCCTTTTTAGCCGAACTAATTATACCTATGAGCTCGTCATCCCATAAACCAATCAATTAGATCGCTAAATACCGATTGACCTCGTGGGGTAATAACCTTCCCATCCGAACTGGATAGGATCCTCTCCCCTCTACCAATCCTCCAAATATATCCACGCTTGAAGGATGAAAGACCAAACATGATGTTGTGTCCACGTGAATGATGAACCTCTCTTAGGGGTAGATTGTAACAGATCATACTTATATTAGGGCGTTTAAAATTCTTGGGCATAACAAATTAGGGGTGGTTAT